TTCCCGCGCCTTCCGCTCCTCCTCTGCGCGCGCTGCTGCCTCTGCAGCTTCCCGCGCCTTCTGCTCCTCCTCCGCGCGCGCTGCTTCCTCTACAGCTTCTGCTGCTTCCCGCGCCTTCCGCTCCTCCTCCGCGCGCGCTGCTGCCTCTGCAGCTTCCCGCGCCTTCCGCTCCTCCTCTGCGCGGGCGGCTGCCTCTGCAGCTTCTGCTGCTTCCTGCGCCTGCCGCTCCTCCTCCGCGCGAGCGGCTNNTTCCCGCGCCTTCCGCTCCTCCTCTACGCGGGCGGCTGCCTCTGCTTCTGCTGCCTCCCGTGCCTTTCGCTCTTCTTCTTGCGCGGCGGCCTCTGCTGCATCTGGGGCTTCCTGCGTTGCACCAGGCTCGACGTGCTGTGCCCCTTCTCCAGTTGTGGCTGCATCCTCAATTGGCTGATCCGTGGTCTCAGGTCTCATGGCTTCCTTCAGCCTGTTGCGAATTTTTCGAGGTGGTTCTGGATCAGCAACCCTTCGAATTTTTAGCTTTTCTCGTCTCTCTTGCCGGTTGCTTTTGTGGTGCTTCCCCTTATCTGCGCTGCCTGCAGCTGCTGCTTCTGCAGTATCAACCTCGAGAAGCAAGAATGGCAAGCAAGATTTGGACCTACAATGCGTTTCCTATCTTTTTCCCCTAGCACACCCGTATGACATTTACTTTGCAATCGTGTTTGAATGTTTTTCAATTTCCTAAGAAATTGAATTGGAGTCACAGCATACATGCCAGACGTTGCTGGAAAGGCACCTCCTGTGCATGCTTGGCATCCATTTCTTCGCTTCCAAGCGTCAGCTGGTCTGTTGCATTTGTTGGGGCATCTCCCAGGGCCTTTTCGCCCACCATATCAGTGCTGGCAGCTTTGCCAAGGTCTGTAGCATCTTCCCCAGTGGCCTCCGGGCTGGCATCCGTTACTGAATTGCTCTTTGTGTTGATTTGGTTCTGCGGATCTTCGGCTGGTGAAGGACCCGTCTTTCTGCCGTCATTTGGCTGGATCTCATCTTCGGCAATCCTCGTGGCCTGGGCTGTCATGGTTCTTCCCCCATCCTCAGCTGCGCTCGATTTGGAGCTCTCAACTTCCCTGACCATCACTCCATTCACATCAAGTGTTTCCGGCATACTGCTTGGCTTTACTGGCTCCAACCGCCTATCTTCACTTGGGGTTTCTTTCTGCTTCGCCGTTTCCTGACTTGCCCGCTGCTCAGAATGCCCAGCAATGGAAAGCCTCTCGCCACGATCTTGACTTGCTGGCTGCCCAGTTTGCCCAGCAGTGGAAAGCCTTTCGCCGCGGTCTTGACTTGCAGATTGCCCAGCAGTGGAAGGCTTCTCGTCACGGTCTTGACTTGCTGGCTGCCCAGATTGCCCAGCAGTGGAAAGCCTTTCGCCGCGGTCTTGAATTGCTGGCTGCCCAGATTGCCCTGCAATGGAAGGCTTCTCGTCACGGTCTTGACTTGATGGCTGCCCAGATTGCCCAGCTGTGGAAAGCCTTTCGCCGCGGTCTTGACTTGCTCGCTGCCCATATTGCCCTGCAGTAGAAAGCAGCTCGTTGCGATCTTGATTTGCTGGCTGCCTAGACTGGCCTGCGGTGGAAAGCCTCTCGTCGATGTGCTGATTTGATGTCTGTCCAGATTGCCCAGCAGTGGAAAGCCTTTCGCCGCGGTCTTGACTTGATGGCTGCCAAGCCACCTGTCGTCCATTCGTGTGTTCATGGCCAAGCTGCGAAGCGATATCTTCTGCACTCGTTGCGGCGATGGCTCCTGGAAGAATAGTTGCTTGCTGAGGTTGAACTTCCTCTGGCTTCCTCACCTGTGGATTATTGGTGCTTCTAGGCGAAACTCCAATGTCTGATCCCCTGGGGCCGAATAATTGAATACTACTGCGAGTTAATTGTGCGTCCTCAGCACTGTTCGCGCAAGCATCCTGAACATCAGGCTGATCCGGGTTTGCTGCCTTCCCCCCCTTCGCATGACCAGACTCGTCTTGTATCTTTTGCAGGTGTGATGTCCATTTAGCCAGGCTCTCCCACTTGACTCCATGTGGCTTAGCAGTGGCCTTCGGCGTCTTATTAGGAACGCTCTTTGGAATTTGCATTGTCTGGACACCCCTGTCCTTCAGGACTGGTTCGTTGCGCATGGCGTGGACTGTTCTTCCAAAGTTGTCCATTATAGCTTGGCCAGCAAATGCCTCATGGCCAGACAATGCCGCACAGACGTCTGCGAATCCGCGAGCTGTTGCTAAATGCAGCCTGCAAAGCATGGCGCAGCGTGGGGAAAGGGAAGGGCATTCTAAGATCTGTTTTCATCGCAGTATGACCGTACTTATTATACNNCCCCCCCCCCCCCGATTCAACAAGACTTCAAAATGACACACAACAAGTCAAGCAGCGCTGTCATGCCATTCTTGTCCCTCGCAGTCACAAGCTTGAAGCGTTGACTGTCCAACAATGCAGCGCACGCGTGACTCTGGCCATGTGCCGCTGCAGCGTGTAGCGCTGTCCACCCGTTCCAGTCCTGAGCATCCTGCGCTGAAAATCTCCAGTGTTGGAGCAGGACACTGCACACCTCATGGTGGCCTTTACACGCGGCGTAGTGCAATGCCGTGCAACCTGACGCATCCTGGTCATTGACCTGCATAAAGGTCGGCGACTCCATCAGCTCCAAACAAACATCAACGTAACCCACTGTTGCCGCATAATGTAAAGCAGTCGCGCCCTCTGCTGTGCGAGCGTTGATGTCCTTTTCACTTGCATACGGTAGGTGGTGTAGGCAGGAGCTTTCGGTTGCATCCGAAAGCATTCGCAGCAACATGTCTGCCCACGTGCAGCGCCAAAAAAAAACTGCAGACAGATCCACCACATGAGCTCACATGGAAATCCCACGGCTGTGTGCCATATCTACCTTCAAACCTTACGTGGTATTGTTCGTCTGTGTCTGTTTTCGCTGAGATCCAGCATTTGTGCACCTCGTAATGCCCCTCGTACCTGTCCTGCCCAAGTCATCAATCGAACCTTGTCCGAAGTTGCAGAAAACATACCGTGAAGGTCACCTTAGGTAAAATACGGAGCTGCATTATTAGCATTGTTGCTTGATATTGCTGTTGCTGACTTGACACCACCCCAGGCATCTGAAAGGCGTGGTATGGAAATGTTTGGCCGAAACCCCATCCGCGGCAAAAACTGCGGCCACCACAAGCGGAAGAGCATGTCTTGTACCAGCGTTCCACCTGAAAACGGCTTCCCCCGTCTGGCAATCTTGCTACGGGCCAAGAACTTGTTGGGCTGTTGGCATGTGTTGTTTAGAATCACCTTCGTGTTTTTGCCGCTTGTGCGGGCCATAAAGTTTGCGCCACGCAAGTCAGCGCCACTACTTTCACGTTAAGCCTTAAATCAAAACCCACTGCCAGGTTATCCCGCTCTCAATCAAACTTGACATAAACATAAGAGCGAGGCGAAGGTAACATGCCACGGGAGGACCACATCAGGGAACGCCTCATGCATGAGGCTTCTTAGCTTCATGCAAAGTGCCAGTGAGGCGTGCTCAGTCATCTATAGCATGTGAAAGTGAATCACAAAGCAACCTGCTTGACGTTTCTAATCGCGCGTTGCGCCAGGCCAGCCGGATTGAAGCACTCCTAGGCAGACGTCACACGACTTCCTGCCCCAACTGTAAAACAGCAGAACCTGTATGAATCTGTAGGTCTCTCCTCCGCAGTCTGCGTCTTCAGCTCATCTGGCGTCTTGGGGAAGAGCACAACAGACTTGACCCCCAGCTTTACCGCCTGGAATGCAAAGCTTCTGCAAGCTGGCCAACGACCTGTCCTCTTGCCGTGGCTTTGGGCCTCTTCAACTTCGCGAAGAAGCCCTGTGTCAACCTTGGTGCTTTCGATCCTTTATGGCTCTAATGGGCATCCACACACGGGCATACTCATCCTCAGGGCAATCTTGTTCTGAGACGTGGGCACCGACTCGCGACACATCAGGCATAGAGCTGATGGGAATATCTTCAGTACCCTGATGTCAACACCGCCCACAAACTTGAACGTTCTAGCCGACGAAAGTAGAGTTGCATACGCTCCTCGTGCACAAAGATCGGGAGGATGAAGTTTGCAGGAGTAAGCCTGATCTGCTGTCAGATTCTCAACACGTCTGCAATACAGTGTCGCAGAAAGCACAATGACACTGCGTCTAGGACAACCACCAGCAGCATCGCTGCGTTCCCGCTCCACATCATGACTATGCTGGCATGCTTGAAACATGGATACCACAACAGCTTCAGTGGTGGCCGACCTGCCTCGTCTCTGAGAACATATTCCGCTGTGCGGAGCTACGGCGGTTCCGCCTTGGCCTGTCAGGTTGCTAAGCTCAGCCAACAAAGCCAACAGGGTATCCTGCAGCATCTGCACCTCTTCCTGATGGTCATCGGGTGAGGCGTAGGAGTTCCTTCTGGGATGCGAGAACCCGCAGGGTGCTGTGTGACCTGGATCTTCGCTCTTGGTTTGTCCGATGATCTGGCCAGGCGTTCATGCGCTGAGCTGCAGGCCGGAGTGCTTGTGATAACTTCTTCCGTCTTCGTCTCAGTTTCCGGCTCACCGAAGAAGTGCCGAGGGGTCTGCAAGCAGACAAGTCTTGAATGATCTCAGGCAACTGAGCAAGTGCAAGTTGCTTTAAAGAGTGGCCAGGAGACATACTTTCAATCCGACACTGAAAATGCAGTCTCAAAATCCGCACCCGCCTTAGCCTGTCCATGCTTACGGCTTCGTGCCGCCACAGTGAGGCCAGCAACCATGGTCGCGGCTGCAGCCGCAGCCGTTGGAGAACAGGAGGCCTTGGCTTCACGTGCGCCTTTCTCATGTTTGGACTGCCTGAACTTGGTGGCGTGTCGTTGATACAGACTTCTTTTGTGCTTGGATATTTATTGAGACTTGAATTTGATCAGGATTGTCTTAATCTAGAGACTCACTCTCCTTCTTCAAGCATGTGGCAGGAGCCGCCCGTTGCGTAGCACCCGCTCGAAGCGCAGGTGCGCCGGCTGGGCTCTTGGAGGGCGCAGAGCCTACGAACGCAGTGCAGGCCACAGCTGCAGCAGCTGCGCCCACCTAGGTTGAACAATTCCCAGGAGCTGCAATGTTTGAACGCACTGGGTGAGTGAAGCCCTCAAAGATATCAATTGGCCACTCGAAAGCCCAGCCACCACCATGGCACGCTTCTCAGCACTCATGACGCTGGCCCAGAGGTGCGGGTAGACTCCCAGGATGCACCACAAAAAAACAGCTGCAAAGCGGAGGACGGACATTCAGCTAAAGCACATCACCAATGAATGTATATGTAAATATACACAAGTAAATATAAGTTCAAATAAGTACATATGCAAATATGACTGCATATATATGTATACATATATATATATATGTACGACAAGGATTGTTGAGCAGCCAAACATCTAAGCATATACAACTAATATGGCATACTAACTCCGTAGCAAGACATAGAAGCTGAAGGGGTAAGTTTGGAGTTGGAGGGCTGCAAGCATATAAAGTTGGAGGCCTGAGGCTGCTGGACGGTTGTAAGTCTGGGTGGAGGGGGTGGGGAGGCTTGGTTGGAGGGCGCTTGAACTCTCCAGCCCTCCAACCCTCAGACATCCAACCTCCCCAAATCCTCTTGAAGGACTTGAATGGGCTTGAGGGTTGGAGGGCTGAAGGCCGCGCTCCCAACAGTTTTGGCTTCTGCTGTCTTAGGCAGGCGCAGGGATTGGGGGCCAAGGCTGGCCCCCCAGAGCCCCTAAGCAGAGCTTCAGGAGCCCAAACATCCGCGATAAAAAATACAATACGTAGACGAGCACGCATCTTTCAAATTCAGCTGCACGGTGTTCCTTAACAGATTGCTGGGATCACCCTCCAGCAAACCTCACCAAAGCAGGGCGAACGATCAAAAATGAGACGAAAGGAAGGCCTCTGCATATGCTTTGCCGACCGGAAGCAACAGGTAAGTCTAGAATCATTAGGCGCGCGCAAGAAAGCCCAGTGAGTCAGAGTGGACATATTTAAGTCACACAGAATGGAATGGGAGGTGAGTGTAGCAGTATCAGTTTCCGAAAAGGGTGAAGACCCCAAAAGACTTCGACATGATGAGCGGATCTTTAGCCCTTTCAATCAAGCATTGCGTTAAAGTTGTGTGACGTGACTTCAGACATTCTGATTCTGTTGCCGCCTGGAATGCAAGTGTGTTGCTACACAGGGCGGCAAGGTTAGCACCATGGATTGCAGCTCCAAGTCCCACGAATGCCTCTTTGACAGTCTTGTCCTGAATCCCCTCAGCCAAGGGCACTACATGCAGAGGGTGCTTACAATGGCCTTCTGCGCAGTAATCTCAGTCAACTCGCCTGCATGTGAATGAAGGGTGTTTGGTCTTCAGTCCTCTGTTGTGCCTTGATTCATTGTGTCCTTTCTTCTCGCGGCCCCTGTGGTGTCTTGAGATGACTGGAACTAAGAGTCCCTTGACCAATGAGAAGCGCAAGGCTCGAGGCATCTGAAACGTGACTCTTCGCGGATAGTTTGATAGCTCTTGCAAACCGAGCTGCTGAGATCAATTTCCCGGGGGGATGGGTAGGACGAGGGGCACAACTTCTCGCTGGTTGTGAGTTGCACAGGCCTACCTGCGCAATGATCTGCTGCAAAGCAAATCGACACTTTTGGAATCAATGTCTTGCACCGCCGCAAGCTCGGGTCCAGAGGCTGCCACTTCACTCTGGCTTTGTGTGTCCTGATCACAGGTTGAACGCGCGTTTTCAAATCAGAAGCTCCTGCAGGAGTCCTTCTCTGGAGCCGCGGGTCTCTTCTTCACTTTCAAGCTGCGGCGAGGGCGGCAGCCACGGCCCATGATCAGCCTGCAAAGCAGGAAACGGCCGTAGCGGAGATGCTCATCAAGCACAGGCCTGGTCCTGGTTGCACTCCGCCCAATTCCTCGCCAATAGTTCCAGCCCTGGCAAAAGCCACGACTACACAGCTGCTTCGCGGCTTTTTTTGATTTCCAGCGTTTTTCTGCAGCCCTGAGACCGTCACCGAACTTCAATGCTCTTGCACTGCTGTGTAAGTCTCATGCTGAACATCGGCCAAAACACACAAAGAGCCGTGACGGTGCCTGCGTCTGACGTGAGTTCTTTGGCGAAATGCAGGCACGCTTGGCACCTTCGTGGTGTTGAGGCTGCCATATGTCACAACCAACGCCGCAAGAGCTTGAATCCAGCCAGCACGCCTGGTTGAGGCTTCTTCTTTATTCCAGGTCTTGGTTTCTCCTAGGGCCCATTACCGTCACATGGTTGCGTTGTGCTTTCCAACAGCTCGAGGTGTACAGAACAACCAAACCTTACATGGAGCATTGACTCAGAGCGTCGACCCCTTCCGGACAGCGGTTAAGTTCATGTCCGCTTCCTGCAAGGCCGGAGAGCTTATCCATGATGTTTTTTTGCAAGAAGCGTTGCAGATGATGCCTGTCTGCTTCCGGGATAAGACCTCATAGCATACTCCCACTGCATTGTGTCATGAATCATAAGGAATCAATTGATGCAGCCAGGAAACATCCTCCAGCAGCGTCCGGTATTTTGGCTCAACTGATGGCGTGACCTACAGTGGTGATCAACCCTTCCAATGCTGCTGTGCTGAATGGCAAACCTCGTGAGAACCTGACCGTTGCCTCAACTCCCAAAGCCTTTGCCACGTCTGGTGGAAGCTGTGGCTCCATAGCCTGGACAAGCATTGAGAGCTCAGCCAATGCATAGCGCTTTGGGAATTTTTCTCTCAGCGCTGCCTGCCGTTTGACAGCACGCTCCTCGGGCACAGCCAGCTCAGCATCGTCCTGCATCTGCGTACCGCAGGTTTGACTTGGATGACCCTGCTTGAGCAACAATGTGCTGCCTCCTCCATGCTGTCACCACTGTCGCTGCTACTGTCTGCATCGGGCGAGAGCTCTCACAGCGTTTCATACGAGGTTGGGGGCGGGAGCGTCTGGAAGCGCGCCTGGCTTTCCACCATTCATGAGCCTCACTCATCCACATGGCCGTCTGTCAAAGCTGCTGTACCACAAACAAACACTGATCGGAACACACTTCGCTTGTGCCGAATGTGGGGGAAGTTCGCGAAAAGCCAAGTAGGGAACATGAAGTCCCGCGCTTCGGGATCGATACCTCATACACATTTCTCCATTTAACAAAAACTGAGCATTGCCATCCTGTGCATCATGAAGCTCCTCAGGTATGAGCCATTGAAGAAATCCTCATATACTCGGTATGGGTCCTGTTCCACAACTTTACAGAGATTCGCGAATCGGTTCGTCAAAGGTTCAATGTGCTCCCGCGCACCATCTCATCTTTCGGCCACATTGCATCAGGCTGCGCTGCTTCTGCAAGGGCGACTGGTTACTACTCCATCTGTTGTGGAGTCTCGGGTGAAATTTTTCGAAAAATTGCCTGAACGCAGCCGCGCCACTCGCGGCCAAGCAGCAACGTTTGGACACCATTCAGTTTTGAACGGAATAGTTGCTGCCTGCAGCTACCCAAGGAATTCTAACAGCTGCGAGTCATCATCACCTTAGCCACAAGGCAGATGCTGGTAGACCTTGACAAGGAGACAAGGGTCTTCTCACTTCTCATGCAACTCGTGTGCAAAATGTTCATCGAGCGGCATATAGTGTCCACGATGTTTGCAACATGCGAGCACATCATCAGAGCAAGCCTCTCGTCTACCTCTGTGAAGATCGGCTTCTCGGACTGTTTGGGCCTGAGCTTGCTTCAAAAACCATAGCGTGAGAATTTCAGGAAAGAAAACATATACGAAAGAGTGCCTTGCAGGAGCCAAGTCGCTCTTTGTTGATTACCTCAAGGACGCCCAAGACTTCCCCAGAACGTTTGCTGAGGATCGGGCAAACCAGGACACTGCTTGCACGTGTCCCGCTTCCAGTGTTCTTGTGCGTAGCTTCGAAACGCGGGTCAGAATATACGACCGGGACGTTCAGCAGCTTTTTGGCATCAACGACGTATTTCTTGGTACCGCCTGCCCGCAGCTTTATCTTGGTCGGTCTTTCTAGCTGTTGTTCCAAATACTTTCTGAATTCGTCGGGCGAGACCTCATGCGACTTTCTGACCAGATGTGCGATTTCTGATGCTTTAAAATGCAACTCTGCCAGAGCGCTTGCAATTGCACCATCACTGTAGTTCTTCTCCTCCGTGAAAGACTTGAACTCACTAAGTTGCGCATCGCTAAGCTGCCAGCGCTTTGCAAAGGTCCACAGAAATCTGTCCTCGGAATCTCTGATGTAAAGGGTACATCGCTCAGCTTGAAACTGAGCTGGCCCATCAACCGCGAAGGTCTTGCAGATTGTCTGCAGCTCCGCGTGCTTCTTCTGCCGTTCCACTTTACGTAGGTCCAGGAAGAAAATATTTAGCATTCCCAGCAGACAGCCGCACAGGACTCCTTCAAACTGCAAGTCAAGCAGGAAAACAGAGTCGCTTGCAGCCACTACAAACGCAAAAAATCAATCAAGCATTGTCTCACGTTGCCTATAGCAGAGCCGGCTGTTCCCAGCAGCTTTACAGTGGACATCTGACGCTGCTTGTCTGACAGTTCTGGGTGGCGCAGCCCCAATTTTGAAGCCGCAGCCTCCAGCGTACCGCCGAAAAGCACGCCTCTACAGTCACGATCGGATGCAAGCTAAGGTTGATCAGGCAGGCTAGGAAGGCACTGCAAGAACCACCTTGGTTCAACATGTCATTCCCACGCAATGAATCCCTGAACTCTGTACTGCCTCGTGCGCAAGGGCCGGATCTGCAGCTGCGAGCAGGATTTGGGCGCATAGGTTAGTCAGTCACTAGATGTCACGAGTGGCTGGGCTGCAATGCCACTTCGCATTTTCGTGTCTCAATTCTCGCCACGGTCAACAGGCGTGACAGTCTGATGGCTTCTAGGGAAAGATCTTGTGCATTGCCCCTAGCCTTGGGACATCGAAACCAGCAGCAGCAGCCTCACGAAACCTCTGTAACCACGTGGCTCATTCCTGTACCCCCCACAACGACTCATCCCCAGCCCTCTGAAGAATTGCAGACACCCTACAAGCCTTGTAAAGACAGAAGCTGCCTGGAAAACTGCGCAGCACCCATCAGCACCCCGAGAGCTCTCCCGCTGAAAAGACACTCCAGGAGCCTCCGCGGAACTCCTTAACAGCGAGTGCTTCAGAAAGTCAAGACGCTCCGTTCGAGAGCTGCGGAACAGTTCAAAGCGATGACATTTTTGCACTTCGCGTAGAGCGTGGCGCAGTGTCCAACCCAAATTGTGACGACACTCTGTGCCGAGCGACTGCCAACAACCCGAAAACGACCAAGCGTAAGGCGGGAGCGCGATTTTAGGCAAGGGGGCTGCGCGGTCACGCCAACCCGGTTCTTTTTCTCTACAGCCGGCATGCTTAGGGGCCAGCTCAGTGTTTGAAACAGATGAGAAAGGGATTACTGGTCAATACGAGTCCTGGTAACGCTGGTGGTGCTTAAATAAAACCATGGTCTGTCTTCTTGCCTGAGAAGTCGGATACCACTTGTCCAGCAGCAGCTGAAGCCATAGTACTAAGCCCGAGGACGAGGCCCAAGTGCTCATCAATCAGCTCTCCTCTATCCGAAGCTGCTAAGCTGGCTTGGCTATTCGGAGGGGCAACTGCTTATCTGACTCACAGAAATGCTGCGAATCAGGCTACCCCCGTGCCTGCATGTATCATAATGGTGTTGTCCTTAGGGCTTACATGGACGACACTCCAGTCAACATGCTTCATGTCGTGGTGGGTCTGACATGGCATGGTCTCGCCCAAGCTTCCGCCCTTTACAAGGGCTCAGTTGAAGCTGCCAAGCATCCATAATGCCAAACCCGACCATGGGAACCGCGCAAACAATGAAGTGTCGCCGCAAATTCTCCCAAGAAGGTTTGGAATCCCTTTCCTTAGGCGCACAAGTCACAAGTTATCCGCCGCTTGCAAACAGCTAGCTAGTGGGTCTCAGTCGGTACACCAGAGCCACGTAGAACCCTCGGACATCCCATGCTCAGACGGTTGATTCTTCTGGTATCTTCTGGTCAAAATACCTTCTGAGACTCTGCAGCCGACGCGCAAAACGCGCGTCTTGGAAACCGTGGCAGTCTTCTGAACATGACGGTGGGCCTTGAGAAAAGTCGCATGACTTAAAAAAACAATGACCGCAGGGTCGAACAACATGTCCCGCCATAATCTTGAGCCGAGACAAGCAAACAAACTTTTAACACCAGCAGCGTCTGTCTGAAGCCATGCAACTACTTTTTGGCATCCTGTTGTAAACATTCTCTGAAACCACTGAGTCCTGCTCAAACACCGGCTCTTCGTAGCCTTGGTGGCAAGAATATGGGCAGCATTTCCTGCATCATCCTGATAAATTCAAACGTTAGAAGCGAAGAAGGCCAAGCTCTGGACATGATTCACTTCGCTTGAAGCACTCAAAGCCACATTCATCATAAATACGGCGTCTGGCGGCGATGCCAGAAAATGGCTCTGAAGATCTCTCGAAATACTGCATGTTGCACAGCGGCATACAGCGGCCTTTCTGGATCCTTCAGTACAAGATATGCCTGGCAAAGCAGCATAGCTGTTCTGCCTTCACGTTCCATCACAATGCTGCGCCTCCGTAATCAACCAAAACCTGCTGCAAGTGAGGTACGTGATAGCAACCACAACTGCATCGTTCCCACATGCAGGAAAAAAAAGCCTGCGCAAGACTTCTCGACGCGTCCTCCGTGGACCATTCCCTTGCTCACAGGCTCCTGTTCTGCAGGTATGTTGGCATAATTCGTTCAGTCCATGTTGACCCGTTGGCCTACTCTTTGCTCTGCATCTTGGTAGTCAGGGTGCCATTTTTGCACCACGCGGTGATACCTGCTCAAAACACACAAGTGCCCAAGTGCCAGTCTGTGCACGCACATGCGACAATGCTAGCTTGGCGCACGCTGCGCGAACCCGGCTTGTTGAGATGGATGCTCCGTGCTCGCGTGTCAGGCCCAATCTGACGCAGAAATGAACATCCACTTGTTGTTTCAGACTGATCGATTTCGCTTTTTTTGGGGCGGCCACGCTTCGTAATAGTCCCTCTGCGGGTCTTGCTGCCATGCTTCCTCATCTGCTGCCTAGACATTGCATCCGCGCGCATCAGTAGCTCATCGCTGTCACACACGCATGATTCCTACGGTGGGCCGGCCGTCCACTCGTCATCTTCCTCGCTGACGCTTCCCGTTTCCTTCAGCAGCTTCGCCTCTTCGAGCATGTCCTGCCAAGCCCAGGGCGCCAGCAGAATGGCCGCGGGCAGAATGACATCCCATGAATAGATGCTCTGCCAACGGGGGGGGTTGAGAAAATTAAGCATGGCAAGGCCCCAAGAAATGCTGTTCCATTAAATTTTCCACGACGCCACGGCGGCTGCTACCTTACCATGCGCGAAATGAAGGACACCTGGTATTTCGGGCGTGAGGACCGGAATATGCTACTCTCTGGTCTTCGATGCGCTTGCCCTCATGATTGTTCAGACTTAACAATCTCGACATACATACTGCATATTATTGGATATTTTGGGGTGCTCCACGACCAGCCTCCAATGTGTCGTCATGGGAGTGCTCATTTGCAGTTGACGTTTCACTGCTTGCATCCTGTGAGAGCTGTCCATCGATGGGAACATGTCTGAAGTCAAACGCGCATGCACACACACAGCGAAATCAAGATCAAAGCAGCCTTGGCTTCGTCCTCCGCCATGGATAAGCAAGGTGCCATGCAACTAGCTCGGAAACATGTGCTGAATACACTTGCTGTTGGCTTTCTTGAATTCCCTGTTCCTACAATGGCTTCAAGCTCTCTGTTCCACAAGTCCCGTTAGTTAGTTGTCCAGTCGAAATATGCTCTGGCCAATAACTTTCATAATCCCTCGTCAAGCCAAGTACTCTGCAGGCTCAGCTCAGCAAATGCTAGCAGCTGCACGGCCAGTGAAAGCGGTTTACCGATTTGGGTTGAATTGTCGGGCATCCTAGAACCGCGCATTTCGAGTACGAGAGAGACGGCCAAGCGATTCAGGCCCAGAAATAGAATTCTCACCCTTTCGGCTGAAAGTGAAAATGCGAAGCCTTGCTCGATGATCCTTCGGACCTCGAGATGATCCTGCTCAGAATTCCAGCAAGATTCTAAACATTGCACAAAATTTATTATCCAGCTTGCTAGTTGTTTCGCAACCGTTTTCTTTGACAGAAGCATGTCAACCAGGCTGAAGTAGCTAAGATTGCTGTAGATTGTTGTGGATTATCGAATTAACGTGGCCGGTTGCCTGCACAGCAGCCTTGCTCCAACACAGGGGCATTGTCTCGCAGCAGCTCGGCCAAATCATAATCTTCATCCTGACCAGAACTATTTGCGGTCTGTCGCCATTTCCGCACACCGAAGCAAACAGCTCCTACAAGAAGGAGGAGCAAGATGCAGTTCACAAGTGGGCTGAAAAGTCCCTTGTTTCGAAACTGCATGCTGACGAGAAATGTCACGAACAAAGGATCAGCCATTGGAACTGAGCGAACATCTGCAAAACCCGTTGTTCCAAGTGAAAGAATCTCACCATACCAGTTGGTTACCCAGAACCGCTGGTTTGGATCTTTCTTCACTTTCAAGACCACGACGTCGCCTGTGTCTCTAACCATCATGACCTCATCTCGTTTCTCTGAAATCCCTCCCAGCCGTATCAACAAGTTCGGTAGCTCGCTCGTCCGCCCGATGTAGCTGCCGTCCGCATGCATGAACTTGTACGCCAAGATTTGTTCGCCGGGCTCTTGGATGCTGTCCATGGTTTGCGTAATGGCTTTGTAGACCACGTTGCCTGCCATAGATAACAGGCGCTCAGCAAACCAAATCGAAATTCAAGAGCATGCTCCGAGGGCTATGCGAAACCGATGCAAATAACTCACCCTAACATCTGAACCTTCCACAAACAGCATGCTCCAAAAGTTGTTTGATGCCTTGGCAGTCAAGAATGTCAAAGTCACAGTAATTCCAGGGCATGCATGGCCAATGCTTCTTCACGACGCTACCGGCGAAGCCAGCGTCCCCAATGAAAAGTACTGCGTTAAAAGGCCGTTGTTCGACTTTGCCTCAAGTTTGCACCGACTCGAGTGACGCCGGATCATGCTGCATATGCTGCATGCGTGCATCTGGCGTTACTGCATGACATTCCAAGCCACAGAAATACGTGTTGCCATCAGAAACCGTCTCAGTAGCCCAAAAGGTGAACATCTCACGCGCAAAGGTGAAGTGGGCTGGCATCGGCGGCTCCTGCGGGCACTGACCTTGCACACCTGACGTGGGAAAGGGTTTCACGGGAACGCTGTGAAATCGGGGGACATATTCGGGCTATATTTCGAAGCTGCAAGGCCTGAAGCAAGCAAGAGAAACAAAGAGGCAAATGCCAGCATCTGCGATTGGTCGGGCGAATGGCAGTTCGAAGCAGCCATGGCTCTGGAGAGGTTTCACAAGAATGGTTGCTGCAGGGAATTCCAGCCGGTGCGCCATTCCTTCTGACACCTCTTACATGTGACACTTTGCAAGTCGGCATGTTGCAAACAAGGTCTGATTGAAGCCGCATGCATTGGGTATGAAGCCAGACCTCTGATTCTGCAATCGTAACTGGCGCCCGAGTTTGCTATTCGAAAATACTGCGGCCATTCGCTGTATGCCTCAGATTTGGTGTGCTTCTTGGCTACAAAGCTGCAGATTTTCAAAGCTCTTGGCAGTGGAAAGGAGCTTGGCAAGGCAGGTTTCTGGGAGCGCGTGAGTTTGCAGCGCCGCTCGCGCCGCGGACCCGACCATAACATCAATTGATTCATACTTAGACTCTTCCTGCGTCAGGAACTGGCTATCCCACGAGCTGCTGCCACTTCATGATCTGATGCTTGGTCACTGGCTCCCGTCCCTGAAAACCTTTTCTTGCGCTTGAGCTCTTAAGCTGGAACTGTCAATTGCACTCGTTGAAACTCCATGAAGAACAGTTGGAGACTAAGACATGTTGTTGCATGCGAGTGTTGGGCATCCGTTGAGCTTGGCCGAGGATGGTGGTGCAGGCGTTCGGTGCTTGGCCCACGCCGAAGCAGCTAGGGCGCTACTGCAAACAGAAGGCTGGGAAGCGTGCCCCCAGCGGCACGAGTTGACAGGAATCCTTCCAGCGCCCCCTAACGAGGAGGCAGGCCTCGGTGACTGACCGCATGGCTGGCAATTCCACGCGTCGCGCACACACAACACCTAATCCTAGCACCCCCCCGACAGAATAAGAAATGGAGCGCCCCGGATTAACAGAATGATTGGGACTCTTGAAGCTGTTGTACAAACTGGAAAATGGAATGTATTGAATCTGTATTTAAGATCCGTGGGGCTCTTGGAGCCCGAACGCAAACTGGATAGGAATGACATGAATCTCTATTGAACATCCTCGGGGCTTTTGGAGCTCTAATACACACTGAAGAGGAACGTATTGAGTCTCTATCAAAATCGTTTTGTCTATTGGAGCTCTCGTACAAAGTGGATAGGAATGTATTGAATCTCTATTGAACATCCTTGGGGCTCTTGGAGCTCTCGTACAAAGTGAATTGGAATGTATTGAACCTCTATCAAAAATCTATGGGGCTCTTGGAGCTCTCGTACAAAGTGAACAGGGATGTATTGAATCTCTATTAAGAAAAATACGTGGGCTCTTGGAGCTCTGATACAGACTGAATAGGAATGCATTGAGCCTTTATTAAAATCCAGAAAGAAAGGAGCAAACTTCGGGCATTGAGGCTCTTGGAACTCTATACAAAAAAAAGGACAGGAATTGATTTCAAATGGAATTTAATTCGATTTCAATTGAGTTCAAATGGAATTAAGTTGCTACTAATGTGGTGCCTTTTCGCATTTCTTGTTTGGGCTGCTGTGGGGCAGCCTTGGTAAGGGGTAAGCCTAGGAAGGAATTTTTTAAAAAAAGGTTTTAAGTAAGCGGGCATATAGGAAACCAGAGCTTTCTGAAGGGCCTGGATTTTTGAAAATCAGAAAGCAGTAAGCAAACGCAAAAACGAATCGATCTGGAGCTTAAAGCAGCAGCAAGCTCTGCAAAATTCGTTTCTATTAATGTAAACTCGAGACAGAACAGCAGCTGTCAGTCTCCTTGCAGTAGTTGTAGCTTAAACTACTTCCTTAAATTTACTATTAGGATGGGACCCCAAAAAACGTTCTCTAAATCTAGTCCTTTTTCCCCATATGAAAAGCCACCTAATTGTAGCAAGTCTGTGGCGGCTAATTCCACCCAACAAATTATCTTTTAATATGGTCCTTTTTATTGTTCTAGTGCTGGGATTACTTTCGCGACCGCGTCTTGCTGCTGGCTCACGAGGCTACCACGATGCTCTTGCCACAAGCCATGCAGCTGGCATCAGCTGGCCTTGCGCCGGCGATTGCGCCCATTTCCTCGGGGCGCTGCGGCCCGTCGCCAGGCTGTGTGGGGCAGGTTGACCGACTCGGCGAGCCAAAGTTGTGGAGCACGCGTGGAGTTGCCCACGAGCCGGTCGGGCCAGAGGGGCAGGTTGTCCCACGGCCGCCGGGGTGGCACCAGGGGACCGGCGGCGTCTAGACATGCTTCTGCGGAGCCACGCCCGCACAGGGCAGCCGCAACCAGGCAGTGCGGACGTCGACGGGGCAGCGCTTCGAGTTGCGGAGCGAGGTAATCGGGTCACCTACCCTGAGCTCGCTGCCACAAGTCTGCAGCGCCTCGTCGTGCTGGGGCCAAGTTGGCAGCCGCTGAAATGGCGGCTCCTTGCACCTTGTGCGCGACCTTGTGCGTGCCCGTGCCTGCAGGGCACCACCGGCAGTCCGGCGAGCAGCGATGTCGGGATGGGCACGCACATGGCGGGGCATGCTGTCAATCGCCGTGCAACAAGCAGTTACCGCACTTGGCTGCATGTGGTCAACTGCTTCACCCACAAACACGGCAGATGCCCCGCCGCTTGAGCGCGTGCTCGACGGCGGGAGCGCCGAGTCCTGCAGCCGGCTGCCACTCCGGGCGTAGGAACCCGTAGTAAGACCGACTAGGGCCCATGATCGTGCAGGCATAAAGTTCCGTGGGAAAAAAACCTGGGTAGTGACCCTACGGCTGATTGCCTTGATCTTGTACTTGAAGGCACTCTCTGAACGGGGAGATGTCCGAACATGAGCACGCATAGGGCATGTGGTGAAACACAATGCGAAGCTTGAATCACCTGCGGGGTCAACTGACTGCAGCATCCAAAAGGCAAGCCAACATGTCCTGCGAAGATGAAGCGGAACGGGATGCATACATACAGCCCTGCCTCATGGACTTCGGTCTGGCAGAGCAATAGCAGACCTCAGCATGAGCTTCCAAATTCCAATCCATTGAAGGACGAGCACTTGCTGCCTCGCAAGTGCTCGCCCGGTTCAACCCCATGATGCATATGCAAACCACGTCAAAAGATAATCTCCGACAACTTCGCAATGAACAATGCCAGGTGCCTTACTCGAACCCATAGTATCGAGTCTGATGCATTCTGCACTGGCACATTGACAGGTAGCAGTAATCACTCGAACCCTGAAGCCAAGAAGCACCATTACAATCCCTGGCAAAAAACCCACAACCAGCAGCCTGCAGGCGAGCAACACGGACAATTGCGTTTTTTTTGTTAAAGGAGCATGGTTTGCCCCGCCTTGTCAAGTGGAATCATCTGGCTCCTAGCCATTGTCCAATGTGTTGAGGCATCAGTGCCAATCTTGATGATCCTTTGGCGTGCGTAGGCACCCTACTTCTGAAACACTTTTTCTGTATCCAGCCAAACAGTAGAGGCCTGAAAATAGGGACTGGGACCCTAAAAGGGATGCAGACTGTTAAGAAAGCAAGCAACAGCACGCAAAAGATGCCTGCGGCAGTCTTAGTCTTGAGTTTACCTGCCAGCAAGCTGACAGTTATGAGCGCTCAGTGAGCTAACGCTCGTAGCGCGATAATCCCAAGAGCGCCTGTCTCCCCGTACGGTATTCATACATTCATTCCATGTAGTCACGCTCCAAGTCTGGCGGGCGAGTGGGAGCTCTTCCCACACACTGCCTGCAACGAGTGCTTCTACCACAGGGGTGTAGTGCGTTTCACTCATGTTGGGATGCTACGGATTAAACCAGCAAGTGCAGAATGTTGACAGAACAGCATGATTTGGGGTGTTAGCACGTATAATTACAATATTCCGCCGCGGGCACCTTCCAAGAAAAACTCGGTGCATTACCCTAAGCCCACATCATCAGCGTTTGCACCCTAATTGGCCTATTTATGCTCATTAAAGTAGTTGCGCAATGCCCAAATGATTGCTGTCAACACTTTCTCTCTTCAAGTGGTCATTTAGACCCTCAGAAAGCCTCCTGCAGAGCCGTCGTGCCACATTGGCCTCCAGATTGTCAGACTGGACGTTTGCTAGACTCGCTTGAAAAGAGATAACTGTCCTGTTTAGGCATGTGAGCACCACCGGGGCTCAAGAAGTAACGGCCCAGCGCACCTCACGTGCCAGCAACTCTCCGTTCAGCTGGGCCACAACTGCTTCTTCTTCTGCCGTCAGCGGAGCTTCCGCCAGCGCTATGCCTGGCGGGGCACGGCGCGTGCGTCACAAGAATCCATAAGCCTTGGCGCACTGCTTTTCGAGCCTAGCCTGCTGTTCGGATCAAGGTGGTCAGGTGCTCCCCTCCGATGTTTTCAGAAATTCCTGGCGAAGCACAGCCAGCCCCTGCGCGACATCGAGTGATGCACTCTGCTGGAATAATCCTTCAGCAGTCAGCGCCACGGCCGCAGCGGCCATCCTCCCCCAAAGGAGAGCAAAATTGAAGGGCACTGTCATCCTCGGCCTTGGCTTCATACTTTTGCTCGAGCCGACACTTTCAAAGTCCTCTAATGCACATTCTAATGTTAATACAAAAGTATTGCGCTTACCCCTGAACCTACCCCCACATCAACTGTCTCCCGATCAAATAACCCCGTGTGACGTAGAAGGACTCAGGATGGTACGGTGTTGTGGCTGTGACGTGAGAGCGAAGTCAATTTTTTACGTTCGCTCTCACCACACAACACACACCACGGCACCAGGATTTGACAGGCATTTCTTAGAGGATTAGAACAAAGAAGGGTAGGTCAAGGAATGTTTCTTATACATCATTTGTACTCGGTGAAAAGCGTCCAATAGAAGGGCTATACCACAAGATCTAATACAAATGACTCTTACAACACCACAGTTGATGACACATAGACTTGG